AAAGAGTGTTGGAGTCGTCCAGGCCAATTCTTTCTATCCCCTTATGCTCAACATTACTAAGTTTGGGGGATTCCACCCTTTATTTATTTATTTGGGGGGGTTCCACTTTTTAAATAGTTCTGCTAAATATCTTCTCCCTCAATCCCTTCCTTCCTGCCTACTGGCCCTGCTCTAGTGAAAGCCTCCATCTTCTCTTTCTGGAGTGTTATCACAGGTTGGTAGTCTGTCCCCCAACATCCTTACCCTTTCTTCAAAAGTGAAAGAATATCTGGGCTTTAGCAGGACACACAGCCAGAATAAAGACTGTATTTCCCAGCCTGCCTTATGGCTAGCTCTGGTCACGTGACTAAATCCTGGCCAAGGTGGTGCGAGTCTTTAAAGGGGAGAGGCAGTGCCTCTCTTCCTCCCTGCAGGCTGGAATGCAGACTGATGGCTGCAGCTGGCACTGCCATCATGGACGAGGGGGCACATGCTAAAGATAACAGAAAAGCAAGACAAGATGGAGCCTGGGGCTCTGAGGATTTGGTGGAGCAGAGCCACTATTCCAGCCTGGACTGCTCACTTTTACATAAAGAAGAAATACACATCTAGCTCATTTAAAGGCACCATTATTTAGGTTTTTTTTCTGTTATTCACAGCCAAACCTAATCCAACCCAACGCATTGCCCAAATTAAGGGTCTTTTAAAGACTTCCATGGGTCCCATCCCATATCACATCAAACAAATTAAATGTCTACATTACATATAAATCGTAAATAACTCTACAAGGCAAGCTGAAGTCCAGTTATCTAGTTAGCATAATTTATACTCTGTAAACATTTATACATTTATTGGCTTTAATTCTGCAGTTTTCCCTTTGTATTTTGGAGCCAGTTAATTTTAATTTATTTTTCCAATTCTAAACTGTCTCTACAGGTCCTTAAAAAGCTTCTTTGTCCTAGGCATCAAGCTGACGAATGAAATGAAGGAAAATGGCCCTGTACCCCATTGATTTCCCTGTTTCTAAAACACCCCAGATCCCAACCCTTCTTTGCCCCCACAAGATAAAGGGCTGTCCCATTTTGAGGCCATACTGCCCTCAGGTTAAAGCTCAAACTCCTTGGCTCTTCTAACAAGGCCCTTGTGCTCTGGCTTCTGTCAACCCCCAGCCTCATCTTCCTTTCCCATCCTGTGTTCCCACTGTGGGATTCACTTGTAAGGAATATACTTCCTGGACACAGCAAGTCTTATACACCTTGGGGGCTCCCTGTCCCTCCTCTCATGGGCTTGAGCATGGGCAAATGCTCACATGGAAAATGGCTCCTCTAAGAAGCCTTCCCTGATGACCCCGGGCAGCCTGGTACTCCTCTTGTGCCCCCAGATGCTCTGCAGACCCCACCTTTAGCTCCTGAGTCTTATCTAAGGTTTGTCCTTCCTTTTCCTCCACCTTGCCTGACCCTTCTGCAACAAGTCTATCTCTCTGTCTAGGCAGTGAGCTCTGATGATGGGGCTGTGGCATTCATGTCTGAGTCCCCAGCTCCTCACCCCAGACATGGCTCTGTGATTTGCAAAATGGATTTGTGGAATCTGTGGAGGCCTAGTCCACTCCCAAAGCCCAGCTCAGGTCTGTCTCCTTCTGGAAGCCTTTCCTGACACCTCCAGCTACACCTGGCCTCTCTCCCTGTTCAGATGTCAGGATGGGAAGAGCTTCCAAGGCCATCTGGTTCAATGTCTCATAGAGGAGAGACTGAGGCCCAGAGAGTTGAAGAGGCTTAGCCAAAGTCAGCCAGCAACTCAGTGCAAGGTACTGGGGGCTGGAGATGAGATTCCAGAGACCTTCTCCAAAGTCACTCCCTCCAAACTCTTGTAATTTTCAAAGTGTAAACCCTTCAGGGGTGGCTGAGAGCAGGTTCTGAAGTCTGGTTGCCTGGGTTTGAATCCCAGCTCCACCACTTATTGATGTGTAACCTTAGGTAAGATTCTTAAACTCTCTTAGCCTAAGTTTCCTCATCTCTAAAAACTGAAGGTGAACCATCTACCCCATAAAGTAAATCATGGAGGTGAATGAGATAAATATAAAATCATCAGAACACATAGTAAACACTCAGTAAATGTTGGCCATTATTTCATTATCGTTATTTATTATTATTGGAATAAAGACCCAAATGCTCTGCAAAATCTGGCCCCTGCCAACCTCTCCACTCTCATCTCACTCTGTTCTCCCAGCCACACTCTCCTTCTTTCAGTGCGCCAAACGCTCCATGTACTTTCCTGCCTCGGTGCCTTTGCACATGCTGATTCCTTGGCCTGCTTTTCTCTTCCACCCTCCCTTTGCTCTCCTTTGCCTACTAAAATCCTGCCCCTCCCTCAGATCTCAGATCAAACCTGCTATCTTAGGAAACTTTTCTGACTCTCATGCATCACAGTTTGCAGTGATACATTTATTTGTGGGATGATCTGAAAAACATTTGCTACTAAGTTCAATGTGGCCTGTTTTGCCCACCACTTTACTCCAGTGCCTAGCATAATGCCTGGCATATAACAGGTGTTTAATAAATGCATATGGCATGAACAAATGGTATCCTCCTCACTGTGGCCTCCCTTTCCCAAGCTGCTGCCCCCACCTCCCCTCTGTGGGTCTCTCCAGCCCCCTCATACCTCCCTGTTGCCCCTCATACCTCCCTGTTGCCCCTCATACCTCCCTGTTGCCCCCCCTCCAGCTGCCCACCTGTCTCAGAGGAGATGTTGACCTCGACGCTCAGGTCGGGCACAGGTGCTCCTGGGAAGGAAGCCACACACAGATAGGTGCCGTAGTCGCTGAAGTGTAGGTCAATGAGCTCTAGGCTGCTGGTGACAGCGGGCAACTCAGGGTCATTGCGAGTCACCAGCAGCCTCTTGGACATGCGTGCTGGCTTGCCATTCTTGAACCACTGGTAGGTCACCTTCTCCTGGGGCACTGCATCCACATGGCATGACAGCTTCAGGTCCTGGCCCAGCTGTATGTTCTCGCTCTCTTTGATCACATCTGGGGTGATCTGGAATGTGGCATTCTTCATGGCTATGGGTGGATGGGGAGGGAAAGGTGGCTGGAGCTGGCCCAAAGCCAGGGTTTCCTGTCTCACCACCCCCATCCAGATGCAGCTTCTACCCTCCAACTGGCCTTCCTGGAGTTTGGGGGCTACGATCCCACTCCCAGGAGAAACCATCGCTTTTTCTGCTTGGAAATTGTTCTCCTCTCTCAGATGTGTTTCCAAAAGTTAAAAAAAAAAGCTCGCTGTAGAAAAGTGGGTTTAGTAATCAATACAGCCACTGTTGACCAGACATACACTATGAGAGGCCCTGTTCTGAGCACTGTATGTGGGTTTCCTCCTTTAGCCCATCCCACAGTCTTTGAGGGAGGCATTTTATTTTCCCTGTTTTACAAAGGAGGGAAATGAGGCTCAGACAGTTTAATTCACTTGCTCAAAGAAGTATTGGTAAATAGCCAATCTTGAATTCACACTCAGAGCCTGTGCTCTTAACTACTATGCTGCTTTATTTTTATTGTTGTTTTAAACCCAGAATATACAAAATACAAATTTTGGAAAGAGGCACCAGAATGTAACACTGGTTCTATCTAGAGAATGGGACTGAGGGAAATTGAGGGGAAATTTTCAACTTGCCCTTTTGTGCTGCTTAGCTCTTTGCAACAAATTTGTGTCATAAAAAAAAAAAAAGACCAATACAATCATTTTACATGCAATTACATAAAAATACAGAGTTTAGAAAGAAAATGGTCTGGCCTCCTTTAAAATTCCAAAAATTGTTTTACGTATGCCAAGAGTTAGACAGAATCCTTAATATTAGGTGCTCATTGGAAAGGACTCTGCTACAACAGCCATAAATCAGGACTGGGCTGAGTGAAGCAGGCTGTATGTCACCCCGAGAGGTGACCACAAGTATTTGATGAAAATGGCAATCTTATCAGGTTTTAAAGGGCATATGGATCAGGTGGGGAAGAACAATCTTCTGATGGGAAAAGTACCATCAAAGGAAACAGTAGTCATTAGATAAACACAGTTTGACTATTATCTTTCTCACTACTTAATCAGAATTAAGTAAAAAGTCATAGAGAGCTAGCTTCTCTTGGTGAGGAGAGTCAGGGAGAGACTGGTCAGTGACAGATGAACAAAGAAGAGTGTTCATCAGAAGATGCTCAGTTGAATGTGACAGAAGCTGCATCTTACTTTCAAGTGCTAAAGAGCTGGAAACAAGCCTGGATCTTTAAAAAAAAATTTTTTTTAATAAATTTTAAAACAACCACCTAAAGCTGCACAAGCAGAAGAATTTATAGTTTCCTCCTTAAAGCAGAGTAGCAAAATCAAGATCTTATCGAGCAGCTAATGATAATTACTGAGGCTGAAATTTAGTTAGGAAAGTATTTGTACTTCTTTATATTGTGCTCCAAGTTTTAATCATTTTTACATTTAGTAATTATCTTTATACTCACTGAAATGCTTTGCTAATAAAGATTTACTTATGAGGTATGTGGAAATGTTTGTTGTTTTCACTTTAATTCTATTAATCATGTAGAAACCATTGTACAGGGAGAAAGTCAGGAACTTTCTCTTAGAGTCTGGAATGTCCACATTTAGCTTTTTGCAGCCTCAGTTTCCCAATCTAAAAAAATCTAGGTAATCACCACCAGCCCTTCCTACTTCTTGGGTTGTTGAGGTTATATCTGAAAATGTATTGATTGTAAACTGTAAATAAAACTTTATGCAAATTTTAGTCCTGCCATCTGCTGGCAGACACCTGAATTGCAGGGAAATCAAAGTGCCTGGAACCTGCGTTCTCAGCCTACCTCCCCTACCAAGGAGAAGCAGACAGGCCCCTTTCCCATTTCAGTTCCCAAGGTACAGGGACCCTGTCTGCTTCCCAAGTTTCCTTCCACCCCTCCGGAGCCACGTACATCGCACCAGGAGGTTGACAGTCTTCTTGGCAGGGTTGCCCACATTGTTGGTGGCTGTGCAGTTGTAGTAGCCAGAGTCTCGGGCCTGCACTGAAGGGATGCTGAGGGTGCCACCCTGGGCCAGGGCACCCAGGGGCAGTGGACCTGGTCCATGGGACCACTGCAGCTGGGGCAGAGGATCACCGCCTGTCAGCAGACACTGTACCGTCACATTCTCCCCAGGGTTCACCACCAGAGTTTCGTTCACAGACAGCTTCAGGGCTGGTGGTGCTAGGAGGACAAGAATGGGGTCTTAGGGGACCATGAGGCAGGGCCGGATGTGGGGGAGGAGAATCAGGGAGGGAATGGAGGCTGGGGAAGTCCTGCAGGGGGAGAAGGGAAGGAGCAGGCAGGAGGGAGGAGGGGAAACACTCGTGGTGATGTGCTTGGAGTCTTGCATGAGGTGGGCACCACCTCCTGGTTGAGGACTCAGCCCAGGTGGGCAAGGGGATGGGCGGGGAAGTGCCTGTACCCGTGGTGTTGGTGAGCCAGAAGGTGACGGCCTTGTCCGGGATGCCACACACGTTGCGTACAGACACCTGGCAGGTGTAGCTGGCATAGTCCTGGGGCCGCAGGTTCTTCAGCTTCAGGACCTTGGTCTCCCCCTGGGCAGTGACCACTGGGGTGAGGGGCCTGCTTGGGTCTCACACACATTCACCAAGCACCAGAGGCTAAAGCAAATTCCTATTCAGGACTGAGCCTGGGGTGGATGGCACACTCCCCATACCCTGGGCTTCCATGGGTCTGAGGGTGTCCTGGTACACACCAGGCCTCAGTTTCCCCATTCTAGGAAATGGAAGGGTAACGAGGGAATCCTGCTCTGTCTTACAACCCATACAAATATAGGGCTGGCCCTACAGGCCATGGCTACATGTGGAGTTCTGACAGCCACCTAGGAAAGCTGCCTCTGAAAACTCTCTCTTGCAGGATGGCTTCATCACTATCTCCTAGGACTGCAGGAGAGCCATGGGAAGTGACTCATCTTTCTACCCCAACTCCTGCTGTTCCTGCCCGTTGTTCCAAAGACCCTGACAGCCAGCAACAGGCAGGGATGACTTGTCTACCCCAGGAGGTGCCTTTCCTAACTGGCAAAGTTCTTAGAGGACATGTTGCCTTGAGGACTCTCCTGTCCTCACCACTGCTCCCTGACCTTTCTGTCTCAATTCTGTCTGCCCCAGGTGTTCTGAAGCCCAATCAGAATGCTTGCTTCTGATGTCAGAAGAAACTTGTTGGAGTCAGGGCAGTCCCTGGAACTCCAGATGGTGAGGCTTCAGCCCCCCCTGGCCCCCTCCCTTGTGGGGTGCAGGAGGAAGAATGTGGGGTGAGCCATGAGGAGACAAAGCCAGCTGCCGCCCATCCTGACCTGGGTGTAGAGGGGCTCATAGATGTCGACCCCATTGTCCTGGCTGTGAGACAAGGTGTCCAAGCCCCGCTTCCAGATGAAGCGGGCAGGTGGGTTGGAGTTGACCGTACAGCGCAGGAACACCGTCTTCTCCTGGTAGAAGTTGCCTCGAACATCGCTCACTGTCTGGTGTACTGTCAGCACTGGCTCGTCCAGGTCTGCAAGGGCACAGTCCCAGTGGAGTCAGATGCGTGATCCCCTAGGTGGAGGGCTTGGGCCCCTGGCAGCTCTCAGGGAAAGTTAAGCTACCCTCATGGGATGCTTCCAGAGAGCAAGATGCTCTCCCAGCCCTGCAAGCTTGAGCAACCTGTCAGAGGCAGGGGACTGGATGTGTTGGCTTCTCAGCAGTCCCTCCCCAGGGACCTGAATTGGCTGGGGGGTGGGGAGGGTGGGGGGATGTGTGTGTCTATCTTCACCCTCCTATCATGGGATGGAGGAAGCAGCTGCACACTGGAAATCAGGCCATGCCTGCCAGACCCTTCCAGCTGCAATAACTTGAGAAACAACCCTCAGCCCCAGGGGTTGTCAGGCCCCTGGGTGGCTGAAGGGGGACAGAAGAGAGGGCCTGGGGTTCCACACCTCTATCAGGTCCCACTTGGGGCAGGGGGGTGTATTTAATGGATAGGTTCATTGTAGATATTAAGATGGTGGCAGAGAGACCTTTGGGCCTGGCCCCACAGCTTCTGGGTACCTAGGTCAGCCTGGATGGCACAGAGGCGGATGGCAAGAAGGGAGATAGCCTCTGAGTGGTCAAGGGAATATCCATGGAGGGCAGGCAGGGACTGAGGCTTCCCATTCAACCTGTAGCAAGGACTGAGGGGTGCCTGGTCCTGCAGGTGTTGGGATAGGGAAGTTTCAGAGCTGCCCTGGGACAAAAGCAGAGACATGAGGTACTGTGGGAAGGACACTGGACCATAATGAGAAGAGACCTATGCAGTGAGCAAGTCACAAACCTTTGGTCTCAGCTTCTTTATCTGTAGAATGGGTATAATCCAACCTGTCCTGCCCTCCCTGACCACTTTTCAGGGATGCTGCAAGGTTCATATGGGATTAAAGATAGAGATGGGTGAATGGTATAAGGTAGTGCACATCAAAGGAACATCAGGGATGCCCTTCTCTATCCCGGAAAAGAGAAAGTCTCCACAGTTGTTCTCCACGGAGGTGCCACTTCTCCACCCTTCTCCCCACTCCTCCTTCCCAGCATGAGACCCCAGAAGCAGGCCCCTGGCCCGGGTACTAAGAGGCAGACCCGACTTACACTGCACGTCCACCCGGATGGACTTGATGGCAGGCACGCCCACGCCATTCTCGGCCTTGCAGTAGTAGCGGCCGCCCTGCGTGCGCGCGATGCGCTCGATGCGCAGTGTCTCATTGAACACCGATGTCTCCTGGAACTTGTCCGACGCACTGCCCGCGGTCTTGGTCCAACGCACCTGGGCCAGCCAGGCAGGGCAGAGTCAGACCGCACAGAGGGGGAGGGGGAGGGGGAAAGGGAGGGGGAAGGGGAGGGGGCTCCCCGCCCACCCGCCCGCCCCCATACTTTTCCACGAGTGCACATAAGGCATACACAGGCCTGTGAAACTAACCCAAACAGCCTCGTGGGAATGCACGCTGGAGGTAGGACCTCTCAGTGAAGAGTCTGGGGAATCTGGGGTCAGGTGGAGGAGGCTTTTAAAAAGGTAGTATGTGCAGTTGTTAGCATCATGGATTTGCAGGCAAGTTACCCAACCTCTCCTGCCTTCCTTTCCGCGTGTGTAAAATGGAAATATTACTCTCTTCCTAGGCTTACTGAGAAGACTAAATGAGTATATAATTCATTCCTGGAAAAGTAAGAATTTGATTAAATTTTTGTTATTCCACTTATTAGCTTAGTGGCCTTGGGTAGGTTACTCATCTCCTAGCTTCAGATTTCTCATCTGTGAAAGAGGTCTATGTGATAGCCAGCCTCCACCATGGCCCCCGCAAGGTCCCCACCTCCTGGTATTCACACCTTTCTGTACTTTCCTCCCATTTTGTACCAGGGATGGTCTGTGTGACCAATAGAATTTGGCAGGAGTGATGGTGTGCCACTGCTGTTCTCATCTCCTCACCACCCTCAACTCAACTCTCATGGACCCAGGGGTTACAAAACTTGGGGAAGGCTACATGCAGTTTCAGGACATTCAGACGTAGATCAGAGGGTGCTTTGGAAAAAGAACAAGACCATGAAAATGTTTCTCCTTTTCGTACTTGACATTTTGCAGTTTTACCATGATTTATCTAGATGGGGTTTGTTTACAAATGCTTAGGACTTGGCTTATCCATCTGAGAGTTCATACCATTCTTCAATTCTACAAAATTCTCAGGCTTTATCTCTTTAAATGTTGCCTCTTCTAAGTTTTCTCTAGTCCTTGTAGAATGCCTAAATTTGTTACAGCTTCTCATTCTATCCTCCACGTCTCCCAACTTCCTTTTCACATTTTCCATCCCTTTGTCCGCTCCAGACTGCATCGTAGCTGATTTCCTTGGATCTATTATCCAATTCACCAGTTTCATCTTTAGCTACTTCTACGGTATTGAGGCCAAATTTTTCTAAAGACTATATTATTTTTTGTTTCTAGGATTTCTATTTGCTTTTTTCCATATCTTAACTGATCAGGTTTTATAATCTCCCGTCTTATAGATTCTATTCCTTCCATTATCTCTTTAAACATTTTAAACACGTTTATTTTAAAGATCCTTTCATATTGCTCTATCATCTCTGTTTTCTCAGATGTGAATTGTTCAATTATTTGGGTCTATGGACTGGCTCTCCTGGCACTGTATTTTTAGATATGCTTTAAAATTTCACCCCATGGGCTTGTATTCAGTAGGAATTATCTTCCTCAGAACTCCCACTTGGGGCACTGACAGGCCTGTCTGTGGTGTAGCTTTATGGTTGCCTATGCCCAAGATATATGCATTGACAGGTTTCAACCAGCTTTAGTTTCTTTCGGCCATGCCCTGCGGCATGTGGGATCTTAGTTCCCTGACCAGGGATCGAACCCATACCCACTGCATTGGAAGCACAGAGTCTTAACCACTGGACCATCAGGGAAGTCCCAGTTTTTATATTAGTTTCTCAGCTTAAGGTCTCCTCACCACTTGGATAGTGCAAGACACAGACTGGATTAGGCTTATTCCCTCATAGGTGACTCTGTTTGCACCCACACCCTGAAGCAGAAAGTCTGCTCCCTGCTGTGACTCTGGGCTATGGGGCAGAGATCTTCTGGTCCCCATTCATAGGTGGTATCACTCTTATCAAGCTTCCAGCTTTAGGTAAGAAGTCCAGTTCTAGCTCCAGTCATAGATGGGCCTGTGGCCTCAGCTCATACCCCCCATGTGTGTATTAATATTACTACCCCTGAGGTGAGTATGCAGTTAAGTCCCTCCAAGTACCAGTTTCTTCAGCTTTTGCTCACTACCATCGCTATAGATTTCTTCTTCATTTTAACCATAGAGAGTCCCTCTCTCTTGCTATTAGTTTGGAGTAGGGAATTGCATGCCCACTCATTCTTCCATCTGACAACAAACTGGGCTATGAGATGATCCTTGCTCCACCCCTAGACTGGATGCTCCATGACAACAGGAACTGCAGCTGTATCCTCAGGACCCATCACAGTACTTGGCACATAGCAGGTGCTCAATAAATATTTATTGTAATGAAATGAGCAAAAGGCACTAGAAGGCATTTCAGGACAGGCAAAGAGCAGTGGCTAAAGCAAGAATGAACAGGGTGTATTTGGACAGGTTCACTGAAGACGGGGTGTAAGGAGGATGGCCGTGGGAGATCAGACAGGACAGGCAGGTGGGGGCTGGATTGTGGGGGGGGGGTTCTTTAGTTCCACCCCTATGAGCCTGAACTGGGTCTGGTAGGTAATGTGGAGTCATCGAAGGTTTCTGAGCAGGGGAGTGACATAATGTAGCAGGTCTAAGGATGATGATTCTGGGAGAAGGGTGCAGGAATGGATTGGAGGGGGAGATGTAGGAGAATGGGAGGCCAGTTAGAGTCTACTGCAGTGGTCCAAGGGACAAGACTAAAGGTCTGACCTCAAGGGGTAATGAGGAATAGAAGGAGACCCATGCAAGAGACGTAAAAAGAAAGGCCTCAGAGCCTGGCTAGGTGTGGGGAATGATACGCGGCTGAGTCAAATACGAGCCCAGGGGTTTGAGCCTAGGCAGCAGGAAGAATAATGAAACTACAAATGGAAATAGAAAATGGGTGCATGGACTCACAGCCACAGCCACAAATGACTCCTACATGTGATGCACAAGGGGACACACACAGATGGCCAGTGCAGCCTGAGGGAGAGGTGGCCCAGCTGCCTCCCTGGCTTTAGGGAGCATCATGCCTAAAGTCACACCTATGCAAACACCAAGCTGAAGACTGGCAGCATTGTTTACACTTTTCCACAAAACAACCGCTAAGAAGGAGGAAGTGGTGATGATAGTTTCAGTTTGAAAAAGTCTTTAGGAGTTTTCTTATCCATCCGCTTGTCTCAAGACCAAATCTACTAAAGCTGTCCCTGTTCCCAAAATTGTCCCCGCAAAAAAGGATTTTGCAATCACTGTGCTTCCTAGGATCCAATCAAAACATTTTCTGTTGCTTTTAAAGGTCACCGCAGCTCGCCAGCAAATTTTACCCATCCCTCCAGCCCATCCTCCTGCCTCCACCTGTCAGCTCTCAGTGATAACCAGCCAATACTTCCTGCCTGAACCAAACACTTAGTCTGGGACAAAATTCACCCAGATTTTCCAGATATGCATCTTCTGTTACTTTCTAATAGCTTTGAGTCTCTTAATGTCAAAAGTGTGGGGCTTGCCTACTGGAAGCCTCCTGAAGTAGGAGGAAGTGTACCAAGCTACAGAGAATGCTGGTTCTGGATTCGAATTCTGCTCCCACCCTCACAAGAGCTGGGGACCTTGGGAGTTTACCCAACCTCTCTGAACCTCGATTTCCTCAGCTTAAAATGGAGGCCCTGATGCCTTCCTCACAGCACGGTTGCGAGGCTCCAAAGAGAAAACACTGGAGAAAGTAACGAGCATAGTGCTTGGCATGTGGTCTGCCTTCCAACAGTAGTTGAAGGTATATATCTGAGAGAGCGTCTGCTCAACAGATACAGGGAATGGAGTGGAACTGAACAACTGACATTCAGTTTTTGCCCTCAGTCATCAATATTTCCAGGTGAGTAAGCCCACAGCCTCTAGCCCTTCCCCACAGGGTTTATTTTCCAGCTATTTCCCCAGCCCCAGGCTCCTGTCTTCCGCTGACTTGCTGCTGTCTGTCTCTAGTCACAGCTCCCACTGCCTCTTCTGATCCCAGAGTGGGGTGGGTCAGGAGGGGCCTGCTCAAGCCAGGCCAGGGGCTTACCTGGGGCCGAGGGTGCCCGGTGACAAGGCACTGCAGCACCAAGGTGTCCCCCTCCCGGATGGTGTAGACGCGCTCACTGATGTTGTCCTCTTTCACCACACACGCCTGGCCCGCGTGCACGATCTGAGCCTGGGCTGGAGCTGGCGGGAGATGGGGAGGTTTAGACAGGAGGCACCGAGGCCATAGGGAGTCTAAGGCTCCCTCCTGAGTGTGTCGAGGGAGGGGGCAGCCCAGACTTCTCTATGACATCCCTCAGAGGCCTGATCCCATCGAACTCAGGAAAGAATCCTCCTAGGGCCCCGGTCCATACCAGAAGGGCCAGGGACTCAGGACAGGGGCAATTCCTCCCCATCCCACGGCCCTTGCAAGAGATCTGTGCTCTTCAATGAGCTGAGGACTGTGAGGGGGCTTTGTAATCTGTACAGAGTGGTTATCACCCAGTGAGCATCATGTCTTAGCAGCCCGCTGTCGTGCAGGCTGCTGGTGCTCTGCCCAGCTCCCTGTATCTGGCAGGTGCCTCCGTTCCCAGCTGCTGTGTTAGCTGCTAGGCACGCAGAGCTCACCTGCCCCAGGGAATTGCACTCAACCAGTGGGAGCTGCCTGGACCAGACATGCCTATAGGAGGTCATCCCTTCCCCAGTACATACACACCCCAATGACTGGTGGACATGATGCAAAAGCCCAGCCACCTTGCCTCAAGCTGGGGTGACCGCGGTTCTGTTCATGCTCCAGAGGCCCCCTACCCCCACCCCAGGGAACAGGCTGAGACTAAGTCAACTAAATCACATTTTCACCTGGCTGTTTCCCTTGTCCCCTTTCAGTTGGTCCTTAGAGCACTTTCTCAGCAAATCACTTGCCTGAACTCACTGCCACCAACCATCCAAGGCTCAACCTTCAGCAAACCTAACTAAGATAGCCCCCAGCCCCAGGGACTGCACATTCCCCTCACCCAAATGCCTGTTACTTTTCCCTCATTGCTCTCTGAACCTATGCCAGCCTCCTCTCCAAGGGAGAGAAGTTCTCACCGGGGGCCTGGAAGCTCTCACAAGACTTTGGATCCTCCCTAACCTCTCTCACAGTGGTCAGGGCTGGGATCTGGCCAGGGCTGGGGGACCAGAGCTTAGATATGGCTGGGGGACCCAAAGGGAAAATGATTGAACCAGAAAAGTTCAGAGCCCTCCTTCAGTGTCTTAGCCCCACTGTCCTGAAGGCAAACCAGCCCCCAGCCCACCAGTACTTGGGCTCTGGGAAGGAGGGCAAGGCCCCCAATTTCAAACCTGTCTGCTCACATATGAAGGTGGAGGGAGTGGAGGCAGGAGAGCTAATCCAGGGCACGAGGGACACAAGGGGGTGAAAACTGAGTCCTTGCCCTAAAGAGGTGCAGGGAGGTGAGATAAAACCTGTTCATAAAATGTGTAATTTCCTCCGGGAAGCATTCCATGATTGACCTACATCCTCCCTCCTGCTGTATCCATCACTTTTCCAGTGCGACAGCAAAGCATCAATCTGCGTGTCTACCAAATTCAGCATTCTTATCTTTCTGCCTACCAGACCATGAGCTTCACACCTTGGTATCCCCAGCGCAAAGCCTTGAATATAGCAGGTACTCAGTGAACACTGAATGAATGAATTTATAGGAATATGCCATGGTGAAGTTGCTAAGCATTGTAAGAAAGGTAAAGAGGAGGTGAGAGGAGACAGACATCACTGTCTGCTGGAGAAAGAATCACAGAAGGCTCTATGGAAGAGGCAGCTTTTGAACCAGCCCTCAGAAAACAGGGGTGCTTCCTGCAGGTTGACAGGGCAGTCTTATATCCCATATTACCCGGGGTAAAACACTAGTGATTTTTGGACCTTCATTTTCTCATCTCTAAGATGGAGAGAATGCTACCAACCCTGAGAACTCACAAGGGTGGATGTGATCATCACACAGGATAAATGAGAAGTGCTTAGTAGAACTCTGATGTGTTCTCCTGTTGCCACAAATAGCACCTTAACAGTGTCTTTCCAACCAACACTGATGGGACAGTCATGAACTCATTACAGAGGTGGGTCCACAGAGGCAGCCCGGCCACACATCAAGAAGTTTGTGGGGCAGCCATCTGGGGGTGATGTAGGCTGTGTTTAACCATGAGAGTCTCTGCAAACAGCAGCAAGTTCTGCAAACAGTGGCAGCTGCTACCAACCCAGAGTTTGAGTGTCCAGTCTGGCTGCCATGGAGGAATGAACCTAGGCTAGTTGTCAGGAGACAAGCTGTGTGACCCTGGGCAAGTCAAACCTCATGGGCCTCAGTTTCCCCACCTATAGGAGGGGAGTATATTAGATGACTTCTGAGGTCTTTTTTCAACTCATACTTTCTATGAATTTTATAAACAGCACGTGGTCCCTGTATAAGATGCACCCTGGAATCTAGGGAATGGGTCTGAAACTATCACCCCCTGCAATGAAAATGCTTTGGAAAAGATAGCCATCTGTGGCCAAGGTCCTCAGGAAAAAACCCACCAATGTGTGATGTGTGTGCCAGTTGTTGATAAGCCCAGAAGGCTGCATGGATGTCTTCAAGAGGCCTGGGGTGCCTCTCAACAAGGAAGACATTGATTTAACAGGCTCCAATGGAAGATAAGCTGTAATCTTGGACACTGTGGCTTGCCCGTAGCCAGGCAGTGTTGTAATAATAGACACTTTGGTGACTGATAAGGAATACTGAAAAAGAGCTGGAGAGCTGGACTTTCTCAGGGCCTGGCCAGCCCAAGCCAGAAAAGATGGGGCCTGGCCAGCAGACACAAGGCCTCTGGCCACCTGACAGGTGCTCTTCCTCATTGGACATTGGGCTATGAGCTGGCATCATGGGTGATGACATCATTAAGATTATCTAACGCCCTTTAATGACATTAACTCCTAAGACTATCCAACTCTAAAATAGTAGAACCACTTTGGAAGAGATTTTGGCAGCACCTACTCAGGCTAAACAAGTGTACACCCCATGATGCAGGAATTCCACTCCTGGGTATGTACCCAATAGAAATTAGTGCTATGACAACCAAACAATAGGTCCAAGAATATTCATAGCAGCTTTATTCATTATAGCTAAAAACAAGAAACAACCCACATGTCCATCAAGAGCAGCAAGGATGAATAAATTCTGGCATATTCATACAATGGAATATTACACAGAAGTGAAAAAAAGAGCTACAGATAGACACAACAACCCTGTTGAATCTCACAGCACAATTTGAGTGAAAGAGCTCAGACATAAAAGAGGAAATAGTGTATGATTTCATGTATTTGAAATTCGAGACTGGAAAAACCAACCTTATAGTAACAGAGATCTAAACAGTGGTTGCCCTTGGGTGGAGGTGGGCAATTATTTACTGGGAAGGGCACCAGAGAAGTTTCTAGGGAGGAGATGGGATCCCATCTAGTGAGATGGAAATGTTCATAGTCTTAATCTGAGCGGCTGTTACATGGGTGGATGTACATGTAAAAATGCATCAAGGTATTTGCTTAAGATTTTACTATCACTTTACACTTCAATTAGATAAAAAAAAAAAAAAAGAGCATCCACCCCCACTTTGATGACATTGTCTGTTGACGTTATCCAGCTTCCTCAGTTGACACTAACCATTACAATTACCCACTCCCTTTACTCTGAGTCCTTCTTGATGAGCCACTTCCCATGGCTGACTTCTTCCCGGTTCAGATTTTCCTTCTGGTGCAAGTGCTGCCTAATTGCAAAGCACTCAGACCCCCTTGGCATAGACATTCCAATTTGCCCATCACCCCCACTGAGTTTCATTAACATGAGTCAGCCTCCCCCACTCTGCTCACCTCTGGAATGGCTGGAACTGCTTTCTGACCCTAAACCATCAGAGATCCCACCAAGTCACAGACCCCCAAAGGGGTTCTGTCCCACTGAGCCTCCGCCTCTCACTCTACACACCCCAGGAAGTCACTACCAGCGACAACATTTTCTGATTCTAAAGGCAACCAGGCCAGGGCCTGAGTCAAGAGGCACCATGACATAATCCCTTCATTCAGTCTATCAAACAACAAAAGCAGGCCGCTGCACTGGATGCTAGAGAGACTGTCATGAAAAGCAAACAAAGACCAGCTCTGAAAGAGCATTGTGGGGGAGATGGATGGCAAACAAGGAAACAGAAATGAATGGATGGTTTCAGAGTGTGTTAAGTGCTAAGATGACCCTAAAGCAGGGCGTCGAAAAAAGGAACAGTGGGCGGAGAAGGGATCTGCTGGAGAGAGGTGGAAAGAGCAGACAATCTGGGACTAATTTCTGGCTCTGCTACCCACTAGCTGGGTGACATTGGGCAAGTTACTTAACCTCTCTGAGCCTCAGCCTCTTCATTTGTAAAATGGGAACAATAATGCCTTCTCCCAGGGCTAGTGTGAGGGTTGAATACAATATATGTAAAACATCTGGCCAAACAGTATGTGTTCTGTCAATAAATGACAGCTCCTGAGATGATTAAAAAGGAGCAAGAGATGGGGACAGAAGACCACCCTCTGTGGCCCCCTCTATATCTCAGGGGTGGAGCCGCTCAAAGCAGACACTAAACCATTAGGGATGTTTCATGAACATGTTCAGAGTTCACGTTGAGGATTGTGCAGGGAGTCGGAAAACCAGAGGGGAGGGATGGAATGGAGCCCTTTCTGAGCATCCCTCTTATACACTTAACTTTCAGAAAGTTACCTTGTGACTTTTAGCAAGTTATTTAAGCCGTAGTTTTCTCATTTGTAAAATGGGGTTGTGGAGAGGAATAAATAAGTAAACTCAGGTAAAGTGTTTAAAACTGTCTGGTACACAGTAAGCCATCAAGCATGTCAGCCAGCATTATTATTCCGTAAGTGATCCTGCACTCCTCTTAAAACCCCACCTCCCCAGGGGACTGCAAGGCCTTCGCATGAAAGGACGATGTCTTATCTGCCACAGACGATGAGGCCTGATACATTCCTGGGGTCCATTGTATATTTGCAAGCTCCTTGCCTCAGTTCTGAGAGCCAGAAAGGGCACGTCCTATTTAGCCTCCTTTGGCAGAGAAGGAGACTGAGGCCTGGAGAAGGGAACACGCTGTCCACTCACAGACACAGGACAGTAGTAGAGCTGGGGCTCGAACCCAGGCTT